GATATTTCATTTATCAATAATCCAAGATCTTTTATATTTTTTCAAAAATTTCGTTATTTCTGTTTGTTATAGTCCCTATTGTCCACAAATTTTATTATCAATCGGAAACGTACATTTCGACACCTTAGACGCAGACAGCATCAATGTAACGCCCGGACGTGATGTTATAACACTATGGCACATTCAATAAAGAATTTTATTGATAATGCTATCAATAGTATTGTATCAACAGTATCTTTATGACTTTGTCATAAAATGTCACATAGAAGACACGATTCGGCGTATCGGGCAAAGTCAGCAAACGGAGACGGCAAATTACATTCTGCAATTGCCCAGAAAATATTATCAGAAATAGTAAAGGAAATTGGGGAAGTCAGATGGAGAATGTGGGGGGTTCAGGTTATTTAAATTGATTGAACTATCTTGGAATAAACTTGCCTTACTACTTGCTAACAAAAAATGTTGACTTCTTCCTGCACCACAACAAGAATTAAATTTACAAAAGTACAAATATTTATTATCTATATTATATTGAATAACAACCGACTGAAATCAACAATATGATTCAACATACCTAATAACGCGAATCGAATCATTTCTGTTCTGAATATTTCTTTTGGCCAAATCCCTAATTGATTTACCGTCGTATCAGAAAGCAATTCCCACAATAGGATTCCGTTCTGTATACCTATATTACTTTAGGAAGCTTTCATAAAGTACATCACAAATCATTTCCCGACACGCTAAATGGAATTATTGAAACTATATATCTTGTAGAAAAGATTTCATTTACTAAATAATAGACGGAGGCATTTTATTTACTTGTTAATTATATCAACTGTTATTTATTAGCCGTGAGAAACATGGATGGATGGGATGGATATCAGTGTAATGATTCTTGTTAACCAAATATATTTTCAATTAAATTGTATTTCGTATACAAATATTCATCAATTTGTGCAGAATTTGAGATCTTAAAGTCATATAAAAACTATTATCTACTATGATGTGAATCAATATCAAAATCATTAGTTTCTGTCCTTAATAACGATTCTCTATAATTTTCTTCCAGTTAGATGATATTTTTGACTTAATCCCATATGACTATTAAGCTAATCCTCTAACGCAACATATCTCAGAATCCAATAACATAAACTCTGTCTGGACCATATATCACATGAAGAAAATAAAATTTATCTGGCAATGTGCGAGATCCTTAGAGGGGAACAAGATAGTAAGTAACCTCTATCAGCAGATACACACGTAGCTTTATTTTTCCTCCTCTCGGAAATAAACGTTCTCAGTTCAGGTAATTGTGACAATATCTCATTTTACGACTTTCACTCTATTACTTCTGTCGTCGATGCAGTGCCGCAGTTATAAATGATAGATGAATTTTATTTAGAAGCAAAAACTAGGTGCCAAACTCCAAAATTGGGCTTTGAGCTAAAAACAAAACTTCGAAGCAAAAGCTAGTAGTCTATAAGGAGATTTAGTCCCGAATTGTGCTTTGAACCAAGTTGCTGGGCCTTTCAAATTTATAAACAAGTGACAAATGATTATTCATGAATAAATTCCTAAATTATTTATTATTAATTTCAGAACTACTTCAAAGCTTTTGATTTATTTTGAAATTTTAACATTATAATTCAGAATATTAGAATTTTTGAATGCACTCTAAAAATTATTTTATAAAATTACAAATAATTAAAATCTCTTTAATGCCAAAAGAAACCACCAATTTTATAATCTAGTAATAAATGATTAACGTTTAATATATTATATATTTATAATCTAAAAACCACATGAATATGGAACCGAAAGTACTATATTCATTTTGAAATACAGAGAATTTTGACATAATTGGAATTTGAACCAAAATTTTGAAAATTGAATTTTTGTATGCATTGGAAAAATTATAATATAATAATACAATAATTTTTTTAATTACAAATAATTTTGTAAGCTAGGTGTAGAATCTAACAATGAATATTTACGGGAAAAATAATCTAATTTATTCTAAAATTTTGATTTCATATCTTATTTTAAAAAATCGCTCAGAACATGTGTTTAAGTATTAGATTTCTTGAAAATGACAGCTTTGAAATAAGTTCTGAAATTGGATTTCTTGACCAAATGGAATATAAACAAAAAGTGATCATAATCATTTGTATCGATAAGATTTTCATAGATCAAATTTAAAAACTGTTGCTTATGAATGGGCTTCAGATTTATAAAATTTACATTATGGAAAGTGAATTAAAAGCTTTAGTTTGATATATTTTTTAGTTAAAACAAATTGATACAATCGTATAATATATATTATGATTATTAATTTTATTATTATAATTATTTGCATTTTATTTTATATTAAATTATCATCATATGGTTCATCATTTCAATGGAAATTATGTCCTTTATTGTTGCATTATATTTTATTCCTAATTCTTATTTAATGTTACAAGATCTTATTTAGCATATTGATATTTTTTTTTCAATTTCAATATTAGATACAATATTGAAATCGGAAAAAAACAATTTTTTTTGTTTATACATAGATACATATAAAAATGTTGAATACGTAAATTGTAGCCAGAAAAGCTATTCATTCAGAAATATTTATGATTCAAAAGCACATACAGCCCTAAATTACCCTCCTACCTTTACCCTCCTACAGCAAACCCTTATTTGGTAATAATTATTTTAGTAAACGAATAATTTTCATGTCGCTTTTAGTCAAGGAATGTTCTTCACCAAATTTCGATAAAGGTTTCATATAATTTATGAAAAACCTTAAATTTTACTATATATTACTGAATCATAAATTAAATTAGAAAATCACACAAATTTAGAGAAAGAATTGGTGAATAGAAGGAAAACGAAGTGTATCTGAATAAAAATATTATTAATTGTGTAATAAAAATATTAATTAAAAAAATTAATTAATTAATTTGTACATGTACCTAATCAGTATTTATTTATGTAATTTAATAACAGAAACTAAACTTTTTAATTTAATTACCCCGCCAGCATAATTATTCCCGCAATACAAAACAAAAAACTTAAACCTCATTAATATTAATACAATAATTAAATAAACTTTTAATTTATACTTTATGCGAAGTTTTAATGGCGAGAAAACACATCGTATCATTTATAATTGTCGTTAATACAGAGCTATTATTTCCTTGTCGTCCGACTCTCACGCCGAAGCTCGGAAATAAATTGCGTTATAGCGTTTCTGCGATTTCATAACTTCGACCTAAGAGGATCTCCTCGGCTTAAGTCGCGAGCCGATCGAGATAGTTAAGTCGACAATAAAAACAAGCGACTTAATTAAAGATACGAGTGCCCGAGACGACCATCGTGCCGGGGAATGGGAGCAAATACTCGAGTAATGCTCGTTTTATGTCAGGGAAGGAAGATTATTGTGGAGTTAGGGGGGTGTGTGATTTTGTGGTGACATGAGTCAGATATCGATTGACACCTAGGTAATAGACATATTTTGATATTAATTCGACTATCTATATATTTTTCATGCCCCTAAATGGTAAAGATTGGTAACTCCTAAAATTTTTTTTCGAGCATTACAGTCTTAAATTTTCACCCTCCTGATACAAACCCTTATTTCGTCATAGTCATTTTAGTAACCACATAACTTTTGTCCCGCTCTTAGCCAAGAAATGTTTTTTACCAAATTGTGATTAAGGTTTTCCAGAACTTATGACATACCTCAAATTTTACATAAAAAAATTTAATTAAGGATTGTCAAACCCTACTACTTTTTATTAAATTTTGAAAGTAATTTTGTTTAAATTTTATGTTCTTATAATGCAGAGTTGAAAAATACATACAGCTCTAAATATTCTCCTACCACAAATCCCTACTGCATAAAGGTCAGTTTAGTAGTCCAATACATTTTTAATCTAGCTCGGTAACTGATCCATTTTCGTCGTTATAAACGTTTTTCACTGAATTTCTGTCAAGATTTTTCCGAGCTTATAGAAAAGCTCAAATTTGTCCATTCTACCCGCTAAACCATTTTCAAAACAATTATTAAATATTGGCCACGGTTACCAACAATAAAATTAGATGCATCAAAATTATCGATTGTGTAAATATTTTCCGATATGCACAAGCAGTACTCAATTTTTAAATGGGTTTTGTAGAAAAAATTCAAATAAAAAGTAGAAAATAGATTAAGATCTGAAGATACAACAATTTGAGAAAACTAGATATCATGCAAATCAATGGTAAAACTATGAATTTTTTCACAGAATTTCTGAAATCTCCCTCGATTCGCTAAAAATTCCACAACATTATTCTAAATGAATGTTCGAATTTTACTTCGCAATTCAAAAAGTAATGAATTAATAATGTGAAGTATTAATATATGAAATCCATGAACCTCCAAGTGCCAGATTAGTCTGACACTTGCAATGATTCGAAGATATTAGTTGGGAATGATACTGATTAGTTTTAGGTGAAAATCTACCGAGCCGTTTGCTTGTAATTAACTGTTGAAAAAAAATTCAAGCCGATTTTCATGAAACTTTCTTTGGCGATGTATATCATGGTCTTATAGAACTTACTGAAATATTACGGCCTTACGAGAAGTAGTTTAATTTTAAAAATTCACCAAAGTTTGAGAAAATGAGTAGTTTTGTTGTCGTTTGTTAAAATTAAAATTAGATGATTTACTTGGTATAACGATAGAGTACTTGGTCTTAGTGAACATACTAAACCATTAACGTCCTACGAAAACTGGTTCAAATAATGTGCCCCAGTAAAATTTATATGTGGTATGTTTTGCAGTGGGTAAACTAATCATCCGTATAATTTATGTTAGGTATCCCTTTCACCACACATTATATACCACCAACTTCCATATTGACAAGCAAATTCTAGAAATATTTTTTATGGCGAAAAATTTCAATTTGAATCAGCTTTTACATATATTCAGATTTTAAATTAATATAACTACGATACTCTAATCGAACATGGTAGCAGATTGCGAGGTAAGTTTACGATTATTTTGACTTCAAAGAATATAGTATTGACTTGTCTAGATGGCCTATCAATTCAGCAAATTTTAGCAGAATTCTAGTAGATTCTATGAATATTGTATGATAATCGATTGCTTTAACAATTAATTAAAAAAGTATTATCATTATCTTTTACTATTGCACTTGGTGTGCTCGCGTACCGCGCGTTTGCACCGCCAAGGGCCCGTCTCTAACCACAGTAACTCTCTGCAACTCCACAGCTCCAGGCCAGGGAGGCCCCCGAAACGCGCATCTGTCGGCCTCAGTTTGGCGGCCACGCATTTGGCAGGATCTCTTGGCGGTCATCACCATCAGCAGCTCAAGAAACACAGGCCGGATGGAGATTACCCTCCATACGAAAATGGACACGTTATGAGTGGAGAATGTGAGTAGAAGATATTTTACTAGTCGATGTTAGATGAAGTAGTTTTTAAGAACTTGAATGAATTTGACGAGTTCTACTATGTTTAAATATCAAAGCCCCTCAATAATTGCTATGACGTATACATGATTTTCAATTGCTTTTCCACTCCTGTATGATTGTTCGTCTGTTGCGTAAAAACCATTAAAAAATAAAAGCTTTCAGTGTTTCGAAACCCGCGCAGTTTTACCCTACGCTGTTTAGCTCCAATTACGGAAACTCCACCAACCCTATTTCTACACGAACACGTTTTATTTACTCCGATGTTCTTTTGTTTCATAAAAATAACAGACTAATGGAATAATATAAATATACACAACCATACAGCACAATCACAAATATGTTTTGACTCATATCTATTTGCTATACTTTACCAGCTCCCTGGATCCATATTTTATAGTATGTTTACTACCCTTTTGCGGAATTAATATTCGACCGTAAGTGCCCCTAATTCTCGTTATAAATTTAATTCTATTACGTTTTGGCAATATCTAAAACAATATCCCTTCTAGTATTCTAAATACCTTTTCAATGGTTATTATTCGAAGGTGTCGTTTCTATGAATTAATATCTTTCTTAATGGTCGCATTAAAATCCAACGCTCCAATGCATTTTATGAATGTGGAAATGGAATTCACTGTTTAGTGTTGCTTCCTATAAACTGGTAATGGTAATGGTAATGGTCTTGGTAATAGTTGATGTAATATGTTTATATAGTTAATATTCTTAGTTGCTTCGTAATAATTTTATTATTTGTGTGATTTTTGCGTAAATCATATAAAAATTGGATATTTGATCTTCTACTCTACAATTTCCAATTATAAAAATAATTTCCCAAAATTTGCTAACCGTAGTTATAATTCTCTATAGATATATTTATCATATTTTGCACGCCGATAATTGCAATAATTTATGGTGATGATGCATTAAATGATGTTTAAATAACCATTAGCATCCGCACGTATCGTAATTTTCGTGGCGATTATTGTCATCAGTTTGCAAATAATATTATGAACAACAACATGTCAATATGAACACGAAATGAATGATTTATTGTGATAATAACGTGCAATAATATTCTGTTTGAAAACGGTCCTGATGCAATTGTCGACGTGTAATTGACCGCCAATAAAAGCAAAAGACCCTTTGGGAAGGGACAATGGTGAAGTGGAAATTCGTATCAATGGGTGGTGCTGGTGATAATTATTTTTGAACTGCAAAAATAAACTCAGACCAGAGTAATATTGATGAAAGTGTTAGAAAAATCGATTTTGTTGTCTCAAATTTCTTTCAAATTTTCTGGTAGATTCTATGGATTTTTTCTTCCAATTTTGGTGATAAAACAGTAGTTAAAATATCGCTGGCCCAAAATTCACATTTGATCTATCGTTTTCTAGGAAAAGTTTATTGAAATGACCCGTTGAATCAGATTTGCAAAGTGCTCCAATGGTATACAACATAATTATAATTCAGTTAATGAATTATTGAAACATAAAGAATTAGGCTGATTGATAAAATTGCCAGAGTATATATTGGAAAATATAATTATAACATAAATAAAGCAATTTTTTCATCAAACTATATATGTATATAAAATACTGAAGTCTATTTTTTCCGAGGGCTAGATCGAGCGCGTGCCAGAACACCTGAACCTTAATTGTTTATTTATCTTGAAAGAATATTTTGTTTTACGAATCGCCGCCCATTTAACAAAGAGTTTCGACATAATCAAATAAGTTAACCCGGTAATTTCACCCCTATTACGAATAAACAATAATTAAACGAAATGACATGTGCGTAAACATCGAATGTGTCAGACGAGTTGAAAAGGAACAACTATAATTATTACTGGACGCATATAAATTATAAGGGTGAAAATTTTTGTATGAAGACGATGATGGATAAAAATGTATTGTTTTGGAACAGGATTTGTACAAATATTTGTAAAACTGTAAATTATTAGGCAAACAGAGGATTACTCAGCATACGGACACAAAAATATTCCTAAACTAGGACAATCTCATAAAAAATTTTTTTTAGAAATTTTTATATAACTTTTCATTTATTTCCCTGTTTTATTTGTGTATTATTACAATTCTTACTATCCCCATCATGTGTATGTATATAAATACGATCAGGGTAGATTTCTCTGCAACCGCACGCATTTTGCATTAAAAACCGCTGACCACACAATGGCAAACACCGTCTCCGGCGTCCAGACCTCTGTGTAAATACTTTGCTCATATACAGTTATGGGATTTAATTATACCGAACACAGTATCAACACGTAAAATAGCAGACTGAAACACACCTAAAACGATGATTATTCGAATGAATTACTGTGTTTGTGTCCTATACAAATATTTTACGGTCGTATGAAAATAGTTACCCGCCGAAGATGGTACGAAAGTCAAATGGAATTTGTAATCCAGAAACCCTAGTGATAAACGTGAATCTGATTTTACTATCAAAATAGAGCAAAAACAGTAATATGTTTGAAGAAATAAATAACAGTTCGCCTGACAGACGAAAAAGAATGCTAAATGCGAAAATTACTATAATTATTGGTTGTCACAATACTAAGCGCGTGCCCGGAATTTTTCGAATAACACTTTTGGAATCAAACATCACAAAACGGGTTAATAGACGAATCTTAAATAAAAAAGTATCGTATATTTTAGAAAACAATAAAAAAATTGGTTTGATGATATAAAGACAGAATTTAAATGGATTAGGTACTTGTTGTTTTTATATGATAAGATGGTATGAACTTCATTTAAATTTTGGTATAAAATATTTATGCAGTTTAAAATTTTAGTATAATTGATAATTTTATATATATTTAAATTGCAATCAGAACTATATGCTTTATAAGCTGTTGCTATGCAATTTCTTAACCCAGTGTTATTAGAAGACAATCTGACCATTCTCTTTCTGGTGAGATCATTATTATTTTTTTCTAATTGTGATAGAGATATATTGATGCATTGCTTTGAAAGGCTATCGTAATTCAATGTAAAAATTGCTTGATATAAAGCTGGCCAATTATTGGCATCAAACCCGAAGCCAGAGGTTGCTAAACCGTCTACTTAGCATGATGTAATGCCCAGCTCAAACTCAATACTTTTCAATTTAAATTAGTTTTATTTATCAATATTTCAAAAAACTCAAAAACTCCGCATAATGTTCATATTTTTTCCAAAATTTATCATATAATAATATAACATCAATTATGAATGAAGTAAGATATATTATCCTTAATTTTATGGGAGCCTTTGCAATAATTTTTGCATTTAAAGCAGATAGCTGGCTGAAATTTGTCTTCGATTACTATATTAATTTTTTACCACTGGAAAAGCTATTAAATCTATATCTAAAAAATGTACAAACACGTTTCACAAGAACTATCGAAACTAATAATTTTCCACCTATGACTCAATCAGTATTTAGAAATCCCAAGTAACACATAAACCGCCTTAACTAATTTCTGAAATAATTATCACTTGTCATAATTGAACGCCTCATAAAAGTCCATTAAAGTATTAAACCAATCTTCTTAATTTACCTCATCATCGAAGTTGTATGAACTATTAATTGACATAGGCAGTTCAAAAGGAAGTGTTGTTCGATTTCCTTATGAATCAAGATTACACATTACAGTATCCGTTGATATTAATAATAATTACGTTGCAATGTTCAATCAATACACGAGAAATATTTTCTAGAGGTTATTTAGGCCTCATATCCTTCGTCGAACATACATTATAGATTTTAATGCGCCGAGTATTTTATTGATGGGAAATTTGTTGAAAGAAACTAATTACATATGAAACATTGAATGTTTTAAGTATTTTTCTACATCCTTAATGGATTATAATTCTTGCGGGTATGTATCACGGAAATCACGTTGATAAATTTCTCATTATTATCTACTACATGTATAAACATTTTTTTAAATATTACCACTAGCTGCTAATACATACCCAACTTGACCTATTATAATTTATTATTTATCTTATCGCATTTTTATATATTTAGAAAGTCGTTATCTTCCAAGGATCATAATTCGCCTAACGGTGCTTCTCATCCAAATTATACCCTTCATCAGCACCGCCTCCTCATGCTAATTAACACATGACACTCTCTCCATTGTGTCAAAAACCTTTTGTCATACGAATACAGTTATATTATCATTATTACCATATCTGTTACACCACATCATATCCTGAATTTCAGTTCTTTTGGCCAAAAAAATATCCAAAAATCCCTAACAATGATTTGTCCACCGTACCCAGACGTGTCAGTTGTTTCCGAATTGTGGTGGCGATAGGAGGTGTGGGGAAATAATAATATATTATTATTTTGTACTAAATAATGCATTTGAGAAATTCAAATGCTTTGTCGTACACATAATTGTGTTGTAGGAAGCGCTAACTTTTTATTGCTGAAACTTTCTTATCGTAACCAGTTATCTACAGGAATTATAATGCATGCAAATGTAAGAAAATTGATGGGGTATGGAGGAATGCTTTTTGTGAATGATACTTGGTTCTATTAAAGGAAACTTTGTATATAAATTTTAAATATTTTATTTACTTCCTATACCAATTAATCAACAAATAAATGAATGAAATCAATCTTCAACTAATAAAACTGGATATTTCGATGTAGTGAATCCCATGTAGAATAAAAAGCTGCGAATGAGAACAATAAATTTTTTACGACTGCTGGGACATTGATTATTGTATATATCGGTACTTATGTATGTTCAGAAATGACTGTAATAAAGAATCAGTCGTTTTCTTATGTTTGTATACATAAATACTGGTCAACGATATTGTTTTACGATATCGTATTCATATATGTGGAGAGTGGAAAAGAAATTATTTGGGTTGGTCGATGAGAGAAATTAGTAATAAGGAATAGAAAATATTGTACAAACTATAAT